TTACCAGGAATTACCAAATGAATCTTTTTATTTCTTAATTTTATTATAGATTAATTTCTTCCTGTTAAATTTACCAAATTTTCTGGTTAATAATAATCTCATAAACTCACCAGCATCAAGTCGTCTACAATTTTTTCATCTAATCTCAAAAGTCTGTTTAATATTCTGAATATATTCCAACAAGATTATTGGATAAATTCAATCCATATTGAATAAATTATTTTAAATTCAGTTTGTTAGAAATTAAACTGATAAACAGCGATGCAAGAAGAGAATGCAGCTCAAACACACACAATCAGAAAACTAGCGCCCTCTTTCTGGCACTACTGCTCGTAAGAGAAAAAAAATATACTTTGGATTTAACGTTAATACTAGTTTTTTATATACATTTTATGGCAAATATTGAATACGAGTTAAATGAAGAAGCAAGCAAAGAAATTAATGTAACAAGAAATTTGAGAGATCCAACCAAAAAATACTAACCAAATTCTTATAGTAAAATCTATTAAACGTTCTAGTTATAAAAAATCGAATCTTATCATGATAACTAGAAATTCTTGTTTGATTTAATCAAAATGCCTTTAATCATATACACGTCTTGTTGGTACAATCAAACAATTTTTCTCAGTGTACGCGGAGTAGCCGCTGTACGGGACTGCTGAGGAAACTAAAATTCCAGACACGCGACGAAGGAGAGGAGGTATCAAGAGGAGGACGCGAGAGAATAGACCAAGTGGAAAAACCAGATTCGCATAGAATCTTCCGCGCTTTTACTGACAAGCGTTAAGCACACACATTAAGATCTCATAACCATTAATGCGGCTCTACAGGCATTTTTATCGGGCGCCGTAACAGAAATTCGAAATAGGCTGAATCCCCTCGCGCGCGTGTTTGCCATGGTATTATGAAAAGGGAGGAGGCGGGAAAAATATATGGGGGAGGAAAAATAAGAGTCAGCCTGCGCGCGCGGAAGCCTTCCTCCGCAGATTTTTCGTGACAAGATAAGCCACGTCCTGTTTACTCTGGACTGCCGTGGCGTACGAAGATGCTCGTTAAGCCTTTTAGTGCCGGCGTATCGCGCGAGCGCCCACAAAGTCGTATATCACCCGGGGGTACCTCGGTTTGCGCCGGTACCTTAACTCGTCGCACACACGGAAACACTCGCGCGGGAGACAACGAGTCTGCGTCGGGCACTGATAGATCTCTTACAACCCTCATTTCTCATCGGCTCCGTATCAAATATATCGCTCGCTGTTTACATGTGGACGTTAAAGGAAATCTTACTAAACGTTTCCAAGTTGCGCGTGTCACATTTCTTTTTTTTTTTTTTAGCAAGTGGATCCGAGCATAATTCTCTCCGAGAAATTATTTATAACGTTCTATAACGGAAAATGTCTCAACACGTATATAAATAAAAACGTTCGTTTTGTGCCACTCTTACATAAAGAAAAAAAGAAATTTCGCAGCTGTCACAGATTTTGCATCACGTGGTAGTTTCAACTGTGACAACTGTCACACGAAGAATAAATTGCGAAAAGAGGAGGAAAGTAGACAGCGCGGAGAGAATTATTGGGATCATCACGGATATCGTGATTCCGCGCAGACGTATGCCATCTAGATAAATATGTATGATGCATCAAAAGGGGACGGCTCGGCTGGCCATTACGGATGGAGATTTCGCGATCAACACTGTATTACGAGTCGTCATTAATACGAGGGGAGAGAGAGAAAGAGAGAGAGAGAGAGCAAGATGGAGGGATATGCTCTCCTTGTGAACCGCAAGATCCAGGATCCGATATACCAGACTCGAGGTGAGGTACGAAGCAATAACTGGTCATGTCGCCCAGTAATTCAGTAGCCAATTAGTTAGACGGCGGCGGGAGAGTTGGCGAAGATGTCTATCTGGTCTCGTACAGCGAGAGAGGGGTGAGGAGGGGGGGGTAGGAAGGGGGGCGCCACCGTGTTGTTGCAGCTTCCTGCATGTTGGTTTCACCCACACCAGCGTGCTCCTTTTCATCCATTCCTACAAGCGCATCCTCGCGTGTAGAAATACGACTGGAACATCGCGGTGTGAGAGAGACCCCTCACGAAAGACACGTGTGTATCTGTTGGAAACTGATGCAAACGATCGTTGCTCTTTCCCCAACCGAGCCTGATCTATCGGCCATGTCTGAACGCAAATCTGTCGTTTCTCTGAATAAGATCGACTCGATTGGCGCTCGTTAGGACTATCGATTTACGCGAGAGCGGAATTTTACGTGAAAAGGTCGCGAAAGATTTGTAATAAATTATTAGACTTCGTGCGCAGCGGTCTCCGTACTTTTCTTTATTATAAAGATAGCGGTTTTGTACCGGATCGAAATTGATTTCCCATCACACGTCGGCTTTAAACCTTTCGCTACCGGGCAACGATATACGTCGCCTCGCACGAAGCGAGTAATAAGTTGAGTCTCGCCGGATTCGATTCGACGCGACCCGGCGGCGGTGGTTTTCCCGAATTTAAGAACGTGGATTTCAATTAGCCGAAAGAGAAGGAAAGGAAAAGAGAGACGCTCTGGAGGCAAGCGGTCGGCACCCGATAAAATAACGAGGAGCCAAGCCCTCACACGAGCAGGTCCGAGAGAAGTAAACCCACACTTTCTTGGCTCCGGGTGAATTATGCTCTCCCCGGACCATAACTTACCCACACGGAGTTAATGCGTGCTTGTGCAATCCCGCCTGCCACGGTCCGGCCTACCTGGGCTAATGAGTAGGTGTTTGTTGGACATTCTGACACGTTTTACGACTCACCAGATTACTTCTCCCCTGCACCGATAGATAGAGCCAACGGCTGCGGGCAGCCAGCAGCCGTTGGCTGTTGCCAGCACCGCGAACAAAGATTGGAATAGGACAGTTGATTTACTACGGACAGCCGGCGCGATTTCATTCGAGGGATACGCCTGGTATCGCCTCGTTCGTTATTCTCGCAGCCTCGTCGATCTTCCGAGCGATTTAACTCAGGCCAAGTCGCCCAACGAACCGATGAAAAAATATTCGTCCATGGCAGAAAACCAACGATCGTTTTTCAATCGAGTTACTTAGACGAAGAGAAAAATATTTTACGTATTTATTTGTATCGCAGAAAAATTACGCGCACGTCGGACGACGCTTCCCCGATCGATCGTAATCTCATTTCTAGAAACTCATGTATCGCGCGTCAAAAATTCTACACTGAGAAAAAACGCTGATTGCATTAATTAGAATTCTGGTAGATTCAATCAATATGTCTGTTGGAAAATGGACGAAGCAGAATTCTTGTAGGAATTACCATATGAATCTGATTAATTTCTTCCTGTTAAATTTACCAAATTTTCTCGTTAATAATACTAAATTCGTCAGCAACAAGTCGTCTCAAATTTTTTCCATCTAATCTCAAAAGTCTGTTCAATATTCTGAATTTCAACAAGATTATTGGATAAATTCAATCCAGATTATTGAATAAATTATTTTAAATTCAGTTTGTTAGAAATTAAACTGATAAACAGTGATGCAAGAAGAGGATGCAGCTCAAACACATGCAATCAGAGAGTTAGCGTCCTCTTTCTGGCATTACTTGTAAGAGAAAAAAAATATATTTTGAATTTAACGTTAATACTAGTTTTTTATATACATTTTATGGAAAATATTGAATACGAGTTAAGTTACGAAGCAAGCGAAGAAATTAATGTAACAAGAAATCTGATAGATCCAACCAGAAAATATTAACCAAATTCTTATAAAATCTATTAAACATTCTAATGATAAAAAATCGAATCTTATCATGATAACTAGAAATTCTTGTTTGATTGAACCAAAATGCCTTCAATCATATATCTTATTGGTACAATCAAACGATTTTTCTCGGTATAGAGAGTCGAGATAAAGTCATCTATTGAGTGAAAGAGAATTCATTCTGTCTTAATTGAAAAAGATTTCTCGAGTGATCGATCGTAATCGAGATATGTGCCTTGTGGCGATCAGCTGTCAATCGTTATCGTTGCCGCCAACAAAAGATTAGAATAGTATCAATTGATTTACTACGGACAAGCAACGCGCTTTCATATCGGAGGATACCGTCTCGCTCGTTATTCTTTGGGCCTTGTCGAATGATATCGGCTCGTCTATCTGCCGAAGGATTAAAAATTACGATTGATGCTGATTTACTGCCGCGTTACCTCGTACCTCGCGATTCTCGCGAAAATCCCTCGTATATATCCCCGCCCGACAATGCCATCGCATTGATCTTCCTTTATGCGTGCTCCGATGCAACGGCTCGCAGAACGATGCATCTTATTTATCCACGACGTATTTCGTCAAGTCACGAAACGTACGATCTGCGCTAACTTTTCTGGCAACGTTACACAAAAATACACTCTTGGACTCGATTAAAGGAGAAGGTTATGCATTATTAATAAAAAAAAAAAGGACGACAAAATACATGAAACGCTTGAAATGATTCGTATCATTTACGCTTGAATATCATTTACATTAATTATATTAATTCTTCTTCTTCTTATTATTATTTCGAGAAACTTTCTGCTACGCGTGTTGGAAATTATAATAGATAGCCGTCGCACAGATACCGCGATAAATTTTGTGTAACATCAATTTTCGCGAAATTGTAAACATCTCCGGTTTGGACTTTAAAAGCTTGCAATCGCTTTTATCGGTTCGTTATCTGATTTTCGGAACTCATCTAAATAATTGTAAATAGACCCCTCGCGCGCGCGGACAGCATTCTTTTTAGTATTTTCTTCTTATCGAGATGCTTACGACAGTTCGCCGAAGGAAGGTAGGGTAACGCGTTAACGTTGGATGCGCTATTTCGGTTCGCGCCGTATCCGCTCGTAAAAGTCGCCCAAGGCGTGGGCATCCATCCTAATTAACAACCATGGAACCAGGTACGGGACCATCTGATAGCAGGCCGAGAGTATAATCCGCTCGTTACCAACACGAAGCCCACACGGACAAGCACTCTTTACCACCGTAAAGCGCCTCTTCGGATCCTCTTCCAGTTTCGACGCGATAGGCATGGCGCCTTTGGACGGTAATGGAAGAGGAGGACCGGCGGAGATTCGACACTCTCCACGTCCTGGAACATCCTTTTCTCTCCGGCTATAATAAACGTATTTTTTACGAACGTATGATAAAAGTAAATGAGCAGTTTCCATTATAATCTCCTTCATCTAATTGCACAGAGAAATATATATATATATTTATTTATTTATTTATATTTATTATTTATATTTATATTTATTTAATTTATTTATTAATTTATTTAATTTATTTATCTTATTAATTTATATTTATTATACACACACGAACATGTAAGTTTGCTTGCATATACAAGTGTATATATTTTTCGAAAAATAGAATGTATTCGCAGATTCCGATAAATAAAAACCTATGCACACAATGTATTTAATACCATTAATCTTGGCAATGGACGTATGATTAATGCATGTAATTTCCATATTTTTATGACGTGGAGAGACTAGTCTCGGTAATTTTATAATGCGATGCGCATTTTCTCACATGTTCTCACACGAAACGCGTGATGTATAGAAAACACTGACATTATATCGTGAATGAATAGCGGTATAAGTTTCAAGTATAATTATGCAGTTCTTTTCTCACGTTTTGATGTTATCGCATTCGTGTTACCGCCGCAGATTGCAGAACGAACCTAACTTTTAATACATTACTGAATGCGCAACTTTGCAAACACATTGCGCGCGCACAATTGGCGATACAAATATACGCACACGCACACGCAGCCGAGTAAACAAGATCGAGAAGATATACCGATGCAGCCTACGCAGTTAGACTAACCACATTGTAATAAATTCCTCCGGCATGTATCTCGCAGGCTTGATTTACGCGAGCGATTCGATGGAAATGACGTGAAGCACAGTGTTGCTAAGATCGTTTTCCACGACTCGATTTATCGCGCGTTACGATACGCATACCACGCAAATCAACTACGAATGATGCTGTAGCATTTCTTTCGACGCGATCAAAGATATCTCCGATAGACGACAACTCGACAGTCGTCGCAGCATTCGACAAACGACGGGGAGCATAAATTATTGCGCGTCGGTGACACAACGAATGTACATTTCGAGCGTTTTCCATTAGCATTAAAGCAATCATAAATATTTATCACGCCGTACCGTCTTTCATACAAATTAACGTGGAAATCCGGACGAGTCGAAAGCAATATGACCCAAGCGTATCCACTCGAGGCGAGGCACTTGCGCGAATCGAGCTTAAATGATCGGAAACAAGGTAGCGGAACGCCACGTCGCATCGAGGCACGATTCACTCTCTCGTCTCGTAATAAAAATTGCCCCTATCGCTGCTATTCATCGGGCAATACCGGATTTACTTGATCGAGCGCACCGAAATAAAGTGAAACACGGCGCGCGCGCGCGGCTCAAGCCGTTATAAACAAAGATACGAACTATCGAGAGAGGCTCGCGGAACCGCGGTGGCTCCACGCATGGCTGCCGGCGATAGAAGCAGCCAGTTCCGCTTTATGATCCCATAAATATCTCAATAGGATCTTAAATTACCCCACCACCCGAAGAGTCTGCCTGCGACTCCCTCAACCGCTGGCTGCTGTTCCGCCGCTGCCGTTGGCTGCTGCTGGCTCTGGATATACATTTACCCGGCCGAGTTTTCGGTGGAGACGTTACTGTTATTTATGGGCTCGTTTATCAAGGTGGCACCCCTTTCCCCTATCGTTGCTTCGATGCAGACTATCCGCCACTGCGAAGCCAATCCCGAGATATATCGTTTCGATACCAATCCGAGTTCTCCTTCTCTCTCTTTCTCCCCGTCTTTCCCTCTACCTTCCTCGCGATGCCTTTCTCAAAAAAGAGAAAGAGAGAGAGAGAGAGAGAGAGAGAGAGAGAGAGAGAGAGAGAGAGAGAGAGAGAGAGACGAAGAAATCTCGAGGAGGTAGCAAGCTTCGTCTTCCAGATCCCTTCTTTCAACTTTTCGCCTGGAGGCACACCCCAAAACTTCCTTCGGTGATAAATGCTCGTGAAGAATCGCACCCGTGCGATAGCGGCAATTAGTGGGGCCTCGTTTGTCTCCTTGTCTGCCCTCGAGGTTGATGAGCCTGCGGTTCCGGCTTGACGCTTCGGATTCATTGCGGAACAATGAAACTGTCGAATTTCGATCTACGTGTTGTGCGTTGAAATGACCAGCCTCTAAATAAAAATGCCGAAACCCGGGGCCGATGTCACAGTCTTTTGATTCGAACAAATGCACACAAATGGTATTCGCGTTGCACAATCACGCGTACACGCATTATTCCTCTCTGTACATTTAAACGTGCTCGTAATTTAATAATAAATTTACATGAAAAAAAACATACGCATATATGTGCGCAAAAGCATCGATACTACAACGGAAATTAGTGCGCGTAATAATAGTAATGGCTCGTGACATAAAGTACGCGATCGAGTTTCCAGGAAAGCATATACAAATTGGCCGACGTCGTCTTGAAAATATCCTCGGGAGCGTGCATTCGGTCCTACAGTATGCGCGATCGTGTGCCATATCCGCATTAACCTTTCATAGTGTTCATGTAGCGCCGAAAAAGGATCGTAGTTTTAGGTTTCCTTGTCGGAAGACAAATAGCAGCAGTCGACAGGGAGCGCAGCCCACTTTGTCCCCGACAGCGTGGCGAATAAACGCCCGATCACTTTACGAGGTAGACGGGGTAAGAGTGGAGCGGATAGCGCGAAAGAGAAGGAGACAGGACGAGGGAGCAGGAAGGAGAAACCCGCCCCTTCTCAATTCGTACGTAGCCATCTACACCCCCGAGGCCAACAATCCATTCTAACCCCGCCAACACGATCCAACCCCCGATCCGAAAGCGAGGGGCGAGGGAGAGGAAGGGGGGGGATAGCGGTGGGAGGAGGACTTTGGGATCTCTCCCTCTCGGTCCTCTCTCGGCCGGGCAAAACCGCGGCGTTGATGCGAAAGCTGATAATACCGGGTCTCACCACTCCACCTGATTAATTTCCGTTTCTTCCGCGACGCGATTTATGGTTATTAGTGCATTCTGCTAGTTTCCCGCGCGTCGCCGTATTTCTTTATCTACAAGATAATCGTTGCACGTGCGACGCGCGAAATCCAACCGAGTTTAGTAAACAGGATCCGAATGGAGAAATTGCGAGGAGATCCTCTCGCAAGGAGAATAAGCTTTCGTAAATATACTGAAAAACTCGATCTCTCCTCCACATCGTCGTAATATCTAGCGCTTGGTCAAAACACCCGGCCACGTTCACGGCGGTAAACAAGATTTCATACACCAAGTGGCTGCGTGTTTGCCCCGAGAATTTCGAGAGTCGCGTGCGTATAAACGGGATACGCATGAGAAGGCAACGTAAGATAGTTCCACCTCCGCGCGAACAGCGATGACAGCGAGTCAGAACCTCAAGCGGAACCTCAAAGCGCAGGTTCGTCTCGTTGCCAACGTAAACTGTCCTACAGCGGAATAATGAGAGGGAGAGCGAAAGGAACAGCCGGAGAAAAGAGCCGTGGAGAGAGACGAGCCGGCATTGCCAGCGGACAAAGATAAATAAACGAAGGAAACGGTGTTCGCGTACAAAGGGAAGCAATATCCCCGTCTTTAACCCGGGTCTCGCTCGCTGGACGGAGAGCTAATAGCAGCTGTGGTAAACAAGCCGCTTCTGCCGCGGAAACATTGCGCGCTTCGCAGACTTTCCTCTTAATCCGTCCCGATTCCTCCTCGTCTCCCTCTCCTGGCCCTCGTGGCATTTCCGCCAGCATACTCCATCTTCCGCTTACTTCCATTCAAGTCTTTCGCTCACCCCCGGGCTCTCGGAGATCTCTGGGTACACCTCCCGCAACCGAGTCGTCCTTTCCTTTTCCCCGGCCATTTCCGTTTTCCTACTGCCTTCTCGCGCTTCCATCCGTTTTCTCTCGCTTTTGCCGGGACGTCTAGTTTACTACTCGAGCTTCTTCTGCCGCGACGAAACCACGCGATAGTTTATAGCTCGCCTCGCCCGCCGGAAAGTTATCTCTCGATCGGTTCAAACACGCGCGCCCTTTTTCAGACGTGGAGAGAACGAGAGGGAACAAGGATTTAACGTATAAATTGTCGCATTAATATTAGCGCTCGTTATCTCCATATTTGCCTCTTGTTATCCGTGTTGTTGTCGATGACGTTAATAAACGATAAATGAAGTGTCGCCGCTCCTACAAATATTCCATCATTAATAACGGAGCCCCTAGAAAAGAGCTCAATGTTTTATAATTTTGCACGCCTAATTAGGTATGTATCGAAGCAAACTTCCCGCGCGTGGAGGCGCACCGTGAAGCATAACAAGATGATATAAAGGCACAGTAAAACATGTCTTTGTAAAATTATGCACACTCATTAGCACGTAATAAATATGCTAACACGTTTTATACTATCTGACGCTGGTCATTTTTCTTCGTTCAATGCTTAATATATGCAGACTCATTATCGATGGTTGCTGCTTATAGCGTACGGTGAAATAGTCGCCGCAGCCTGAGAAGGTTGCGAAATCATATACACGACTATGTATCTCTAATAATAAGATAGAATATCTTTCAGTTGAATTTTTAAAATTAATAATTAATGACTACAAGTGTAAATAATGTGCGCGTTTTAATACGTGATCGAGACGGTGTAGAAAAAAGATGGATAAATGATAGGATCGTACTGAGAAAAATGATTTGATTGTATCAACAAGACGTATATGATTAAAGACATTTTGCTTAAATCAAACAAGAATTTCTAGTTATCATGACAAGACTCGATTTTTTATAATTAAAACGTTTAATAGATTTTACTGTAAGGATTTGATTAGTATCTTCTGATTGGATCTATCAAATTTCTTGTTACATTAATTTCTTTGCTTGCCACTCTTAACTCGTATTCAATATTTGCCATGAAATGTATGTATATATAAAGAACTATTATTAACGTTAAAAATCCAAAGTATTTTTTTCTCTTAGCAATAGTGCCAGAAAGAGGACGCTAGCTCTCTGATTGTGTGTGTTTGAGCTGCATCCTCTTCTTGCATCACTGTTTATCAATTTAATTTTTAACAAACTGAATTTAAAATAATTTATTCAATAATTTGGATTGAATTTATCCAATAATCTTGTTGGAATTTAGAATATTAAACAGACTTTTGAGATTAGATGGAAAAAATTTTAGACGACTTGCGAGTTTAGTATTATTAACCAGAAAATTTGGTAAATTTAACAGGAAGAAAGTAATCAGATTCATCTGGTAATTCCTGCAAGAATTCTGGTTCGTCCATTTTCCAACAAACATCCTGGGTGAATCTACCAGAATTCTAATTAATGCAATCAGATTTTTTTCTCAGTGCAGTTTAATTTCTAACAAACTGAATTTAAAATAATTTATTCAATAATCTGGATTGAATTTATCGAATAATCTTGTTGGAATTTAGAATATTAAACAGACTTTTGAGATTAGATGGAAAAAATTTTAGACGACTTGATGCTGGCGAGTTTAATATTATTAACCAGAAAATTTGATAAATTTAACAGGAAGAAATTAATCAGATTCATCTGGTAATTCCTGCAAGAATTCTGGTTCGTCCATTTTCCAACAAACATCCTGGTTGAACCAGAATTCTAATTAATGCAATCAGATTTTTTTCTCAGTGCGTGAAATATACCTTTCGCAATTTCGCGAAATTTACAGAAATGTATTTGTCGTAAACAAATGATGCCCTTGATCAATTCCGACATCCTATCGAGATTCGAGAAAGCTCGCGTATTTTAAAGAGTATCAAACTTTTATTCCTTACGTGAAATCAAACGCGAGTACGGTAACGGAGAGAAAAGTAATCTCTCAAGAAAGTCTGAAAGTCTACGCCATGTCCGAGTATTCAGACATTATCGTGATTGAGCGTGCCAACGGTAGGGTTCGCCAGGTTGGAGGGCGAGAACTGAGTGATTTAGTGGGGTGGCTACTCGACGACTGACCGAGATAACCTGCCTGTCCTCGGAACAACCCCATTTGTCCAATGTCTTCCGCTACAAAACTGCCCTGGTGCCTGCGTCCTTTTGAATAATGACGGCGCTTTGTCAACTAACGGTTTACCGATAATGCCGGATACGTTAGATGCGTACGAGAAAGAGTAGACTAAATAAGTTTTACATTTTCGCGGCATAGTATCGTCGTATTCATGCTTTTACCCGGTGAAAATAAAGGAGCATATAAATTAATTACAAATTGTAAATTTCCCATCATACAAAATAATATTGTTATAGTAATAATATTAAAATGTTACATGGTTCCAATGAAATTTTATATACGGATATCTCCGTTAAAGTGGATAATATTTTTTAACAAATTTATACATACACATATCCGTCCGGTTCGCACAACATTCTACCGTGCAAATGGAATTCTGAATCCATTTACGTCGATCGACTCGATGCCACTGAGTCTTTATTCTATTCTTTACGCTACCTGCGGTATCAATGACACTAGCTCTTCCATAAGATTCCGGTTACATAGCCCGCCTTGATGCTTCTTACATCTAGAAAAGAAGCGTTTCTCTTTTGTTTCTTTGTTTTTTCCAATGGATTTATTGTTATTGACTCATATACTTTTCAGCCACCATCTATTTTCTCTTACACGGACAAATATGTTTAAGACGTGTAGAAATTTATTTGTCCTAAGTAACAAATACCATTGTAATAGAGATGTAGAAGAATATGAATCTAATATACAAGAAAGAGCTTTAGCATTTATGCTTTTCTATTTTCTCTTGCGATATTATTGCCGAGTTGTCTTTTAATATTAAAATTTAAAAAAAATATTTTTTTATAAGACTCTCTTTTAATCTTCACGAATAAAAATATTACAATTTCATTCGAAAATTTTCTCGCGTCGAAATGCAAAATAGCATTGTGTTTGAAATCAAAGAACGAGACGAGATGAGTTCCCCAGTTGCGGGAGAGAAAGCAGAGATGGAAAGAAAGAGATTGAAGGAGAAGGCACGAGGGAACGAGGAGAGGACTTTAAACATGGAAGGAGATGGAAAGAGCGAGATCCGAGCGGACGAGCGAGGTGGGCCGTGAATTTATATCCCGGTCAGCCACTTGGAGCCATCAGCGGCTCGTTTGAAGTTCCACCTTGGCCGGGCAGACGTTATAAAGACAAACTATGCCTACGGCACCGTCATGCCCTACCACTTTATACCATAATTCTTCAAGCCGATCCACGAAACGGCCACTCGATCTCGGCCGACGAGAGGAGAGACGGTGCCGCGCTCGCCTTCTCTCTCGTTCTCTCCGCACGACTCTACTCATGTACGCCAATCCACGGCACATCGGACCGTCTCTCTCCCTCTTATCGGACAGTCTTCAGCTCGCTTCCTTTACGGTTAGTGCCCGAGGGTAATAAAGATGGTTCTGCTTATGTACAACCGGCAACCGGAGGCGGAGCCAGGCTGCCCTCTGTGGGCAGGACTAACGCAAATGACTCTTCCATGCAAGATGGCGTAGGCATACAACCGCGCGGTGCGGTGGTGTGGTGTGGTGCCCGCGAGGTGCTTTTATATTTAGCATGCGACGTGCGGAGAAAGAGAGAGAGAGAAAGAGAGAGAGAGAGACCGGGCGCTGAATGCACCGCACCGCGTGCAACAGTCGACCGCCTGGCGTCAGCGTCGATCGCCTGGTTTACACGCTCGACCATCTCGCGATCCGATGACCGCTCGAATGTCCCTCTTCCGCTTCCCGGCCGCAAATTCCGACGCGTGACGACGCCTTGTGAGACGTTCGATTTACGGTGCATGCGCGGCCTCGCTTCTCTTTTAGGAAGAGACGCGGCTCCAGCGAGTGGGACGGATAGTGCCGCGAATACAATGAATATCTCCGTCACGACCTGACGGTGGAGTGAATAGCACCGTGTCATTGATACGTCTTCTGTTTTGACAGTTATCAGTTTGACGTATCTCTTTGATAGGATACCGCGGAGGTATTTCCTAATAATACATCCGTTGTATTATTGTATTCATAGATTCGCCTGTTTCTCCTTTCAGCGGAAATCCGCTACCATTCGATAATCCAATGGGATTGAAACGACTCGGTAATATATCGTTACATCTGCCGGCGATCCGATGATGAAAATCCATTAATATGATTGCCAGTCGTCGTGAACATCGCCATGTATCGGATCGTATGCAAAGTACATCATTGACATAAAGTTTGAATAAATGATTTGCATCTCATTACCTTTATGTCACTTTTGAGGAAGTTGAAGATAAATGTTGAAATTATTAAGATTTGCCCGACCTTTGCGACTTACAGTGATATACAGTTTGTCTGAATTATGGATAGCAGCTGTAGACCACCTTTCCCCTCTCTCCCCCACGTACGTCAAATCCGTATTACGAGCCAAATGTTCTACGAAAGATGCAAATTATCGAAAAATCTTACAAGATGGATTTATGGCATTCATCCGCATGATGGTTCGATAAACAAATGCAGACGAAGAGCAAGATTCGTAGAAATCTTACTATGCATTTTGCCAAATAATTTTTATGAAATTTATTGCCACCGGAATCGTATTGTATATATATTTTTCATTCGCGGACATAAATTACCTCGGCAACGATATATTTCTGACATAATAAATATTTTTGTGGTGGATTTATTTATGCATATTATATATTACTTTTTGACATTTAAAAAATAAACACGTGAGGAAATGGAGATTGAAGAATATTACCAGTTTGCAGGACAGCAATCATTTCCATCTTACAGCACATCGTTGAATTTCAATTAATTAATAATTAAATTAAACTACCTCTTAAATCAATGATACTTGGCTGGATCTTATCTTTTAGCCAACAACCTGGACACA